ATCTGTGCCCCTTTTCTCTGGTCTCTCTGCATTCTCCCTGGTATGTTGTCCAGGGCCGTCACCTCAGAGTGGTCCTCCCATAACCACAGCAGTAGTGTCATACTGACGCTGCCCTGTAACCTGGCATCCCGAAACAGGCTTGAGCATGCACTCATACGAGTGTGCTGTGGTTTCTGGGCCCGGGTGTTCGTGCCTAGTGTGATGTCCACCCTGTCAGCAGGAGGCAGAAAAAGTCTGATAACTTCTTTTGCCCTACACACATCTAGAAGAATTATGATACATTCAAACCCCACCCCCCCACCCCCCCAGCAATGATAGTGAATTCTTCAGTTTCCTTGAGGGTTGTCTTTTTTTTTTTTCCTTTAAATATTTCAGGCTGTATTCTTAAGGACATAAAAATTTAGAATTGCAGTATCTTACTAGTAAAGTAAAGCTTTCATTGTATATGCTGACCCTCTTTATCACTAGTAATGCTTTTAGCTTTGAAATATATTTTGTCTCCTACTAACTTAGACATGCTAGATTTCTTTTCGTTAATATTTACTTGGTAAATCTTTCTCCATCCTTTGATTTTTTCTGAGTCATTAGATTGGTAGCTCAACCTTTTTATATTTTACCCCGACTGACAGCCTTTGTCTTTTAAGTAGTTTAGTCTACTAACAATTATTTAATGAGTCATATATTTGGAATGATTTCCATCTTATTTTGCTCTCTCTTGTTTTTATTTTTATGTTTCTTGTTTCTTTTCTTATACTCTTCTTTACTGCATGTTTGTTCCTTTATTTTATTTTTTCTCCTTTGTTATTGTGGAATTTATACATTCTCTTTCTCCTCTTCTCACATTTACTCTAAACATTTTTTTAATTATTTATTTATGCATACAGAACTGGGGTACAGGCCAGAGGTGCAGGGGCAGTGAGATGATTCACCAGAGACAGAGTAGAGAGCAGTACAGGCCAACTGGAAAATTATACAGCTGAGGGGAGCAGCAGGCGGGTCAGGAAAGGTCTGCCACGCCATGTGGTCACCTCCGGGGCAGGCGGGAATCGAACTCATGCGGGAAGTGGCTTTAGCTTCTTAGTGCTGTGCTTTAACCCTCTGTGCCACCAGGGAAGCCCCTTTCCCTAAAAATTTTTAAATAAACATCTAAGTTGACAATATCAACACTTATAAAAATATTTATTATCCTCTCAATAAATGAAAGAACTCAGAACACTTTAATTATGATCGCCTCCTCCCTACAACATGTCTTTAATGTCCAGTATTTCACTTCTGTTTTTTCCTTAACTATACTAGTTTAAAATTACTGTTGCTTAATATGAGCCGTAGGGAAAATGGAGTTAAATTAGACTCTTTTTCTGTCTTGTCACTGGGCTCTCCCGCCATCACCTGTGGTCTTGCTTTCCTCCTGGGTTTCATGGCCAACACGTGATTCTGTGTTGGTGCAAAAAAGTGCTTGGGAGCAGCACACATGGGCCTGACACAGGGTCAGCCGGGGCGGAGAGGCGTGAGCACGGGCTGTGTGCCTGTAACTGTGGACACCTGTGCCAAGAAGTCAGCAAGCACGAGGCAAGCATGCCTGGAAGTGCAGACACCTGGGAGAGATAGTTACAAAACAGCCAGCAGAGAGGAGACTAAAGACCAGCAGGAGACAGAAAGAGAAGAGAGAGCCTAGAGATCCCCAGGGCTGGGGGGCCTGGCTAAGGCCAGCCTCCCCACCAGGTGTGCCTGGTGTACCTGGTTCCCTGCTTCAGCAGGGAAAATCTATCGAGGGTTCCAAGACTCCTTTATCCATCTGTCCAAATGGAACCTGCTCACTTTGGGCCTGCTTACCACAGCGGTCCATGACAAGAACTATGTGTTCACAGAATGCCTACTATTTATTTTTGCAGGGCCCACCTTCCTTTTCTGAGTATTTCTCCTTCTGCAGTACGTTGTAATAGATTAATATGCTCCGACAGACTATGTGAGTTAACAGATTTTTAATTTCTCGCGGTTCAAGAGTCTACAAGTCAAAAATCAAGCTTTGTCAAGATTGTCTCTTCCTGATCTGAAGGTAGTGGTCTTCTCCCTTTAGCTTCACATGTATGTTTTGTCCACCTTTGTGTCCAAATAGTCTATCCTATAAGGACACTAGTCATAGTGGTCAAAGTCAATACTAGTGACCTGATTTTACTTTAATTACTTCTTTAAAACCCTATCTCCAAATTAACATTACAATATTATAATTTATAAGAAATACATATTAGATACAAGCTCATTTAGATTACCAAAGTATATTTCTCATATATGTAGTGTTCTTTACCTAGTTCTCAGCTCACAGCTCCCAAAAACCTTAGAATTGCCTGAGATCAGAGAAAGAGACAGGTTCTCTTGTTACGTTAATGAAGGTAACTTTTGGAAGACACCTAAGGATGGGGTTGGTTGCCAGAGAAGCCAACATAGGTGGGATTTTCAGTCTCTTCCCCTGATTTTCTGAGGAAGAGGGCTAGAGAATAAGTTAAAAGGGCAATGATTGAACCAATCATGCCTGTGTAGTGGAGCCTACATAAGGCCCAAAAGGGAGGCCTTCAAAGAGTTTCCGGTTTGGTGCAAACATGAAGACTTTGGAAGAGTGGCATGCTTGGAAAGGGCATGGAAGCTCTACACGTTTTCTTTATACATTTCTTCCATGTGGCTGTTCTTGCATAATAATATCCTTTGTAGTAAATCTGTGACCTAGTGAGTAAATAGGTTACCTCACTTTTGTGACATGTTCTAATAAATTAGACCTGAAATTAGTAAATTAAGGGGTCCTGGGAATCTCTAATTTGTAACTCGCTGATCGCTAATACAGGTAGTAGCTGGACTTGCAACTGGTAGGTGAAGTGAAGGGTGGTCTTAGGACACTAATCTTAACATGTGAATTATCTCCTGGTCAGTACTATCAAAATTGAGTTGAACTCTCAGACCTCCTGCAGGTATCTGAGAATCGCTTGTTAGTTTGGGGAAGCCTCCAGCCTCCACACATACACACACAGGAATTAAGTCTGGGAACCCTACACGGCCACATTCTGATGTACTACAGGTTAGAACTTCAACATATCAGTTTTGGGAAGGAGACATGATTCAATCCATACCACATCTTACTAGTATAAAATTATCTTCTGTTTGAAATGTCCTCACTTTCTTAAAAGTTTTGGTTTGTAGGGTTTTTTTTTTTTTTTTTTTTACTGGGTTTATGATTCTAGACAGTGGCTATTTTCTCTTAATGCTCTTAAGACACTATTCCCCACTTGGCTCCCTCTTTTGTCATGGCAACATCAATTCTTGGTTTATATGGTTCCTTTGAGGATTACATGAGTTAGTATATGCAAAGCACTTAGAACAGTGCTTGGCACCGAGTAACTATTATGTAAAGGACAACTTATTTTCTCTCTGGCCGTGGCCGCTTTTTAAAAAGAATTGATCTCTTTGTTATCCTTTCATTTCACTATCAGGTATCTTGGTCTGAGCTCCTTTTAATTTATCAACTAAGCATTTTATGTCACTTGTCAATTTAAAATTTTCAGGCACTATTTATATATTGCCTCTTCTCATTCTCTCTTTTAACTTGTGGAACTCTGCTTAACTGTTTATTTTTTCTGTCTTATCCTCTATATCTTTGTGCTGGATTCAGAGTAACTTTTTCAGATTTAATCCTTTTATTCTTTTTTATCTGTGTCTTATCTAAAATTTGACATATTCATTAGTTTTCTATTTCAGTTATTGTATTTTTTCACTTTCAGTTTACTTTGTTCATTTTCACATCTTCCCATTCTTCTTATATTCACTTATTCCTTATACATTCATAACCCTGTTTTATTTCTTTAGATATAATAAATATGTTTATTCTGTGATTTGTATTTGATACTTCTAGTCTTAAATATGTGTGAGTGTGATTCTATAGTTTGATTAAAAGATTGTGCAACTAGGAAGAGGTCAAAGGATATTTCAACTCTAACCCAGTAACTCCAGACCCCATTCTCAATTACTGTGCCACATAGAACTTTTAGGGGAAACTTCTGATGATTTTGATGATTAGCCAGCTTTGAGAAAAGCATCAGGAGGCCCATGCCACTCTCAAGTGTATGCATTTGTTTGAAATGTGTGGTCCATTTCCTCTCTAGTGGAAGGAAAATGGAACATAAAACCAGCAACTGGTTTAGGAACATAAAACCAGCAACTTGGCCGAGTATCGGCATCTCGCGGCTTTCGCTTAACGTGGAGCGCAATGCAAGAATCTCCTCTCACAGGTTGATTCAATCTGGGATCCCATGGAGAATCATTCTGTACACCTGGCACTTCTGGTCTCGCCCCGTTTCGAGAAATTACCAATCCCCAACCCCTTCGTTTTGACTGACGTGACTTCAGAGCAATTAAAATTGATGATGGAGTACTATAGCTCCGCCTCCCCTATAACCCCGCCTCCCTTTCATTCTGAAAGAAAGAACCCCTGCCCGGGAGCCCAATGAGAATGTCCTCCACCCCAAAGATCCCGCCTCTATCGGCGTCGACCCCGCCCCTAGGGCCGAGGATGCCCGCCTCCTGGCGCGACAAGAGCCAATCGAAAGCCTCATGAGACTGGATGGACGACCGCTGGCCCAATCCCTGAGCTTTGGGCGGTGCCGCCCCGCCCCTCCGCGGGCTCGAGCGGCGGCCGGGCG